ATATATATCATATATATATCGTCACAAATAGAACTGCCCGGTAAACCGTAGGCAGAGAGAGAGAAGAGGACAACAAACGAGGGGCTGTGACAAACTGTTTCGTCGGAGTTTCTATATATATATATATAAAAGAGCATACACTCCTACCTGACTCACCGGGGGCTATAGCACTAATTAACAAAAAAACGCTCAATAGGGGAGAACACCAGTTCAAAAAAGAAATTGAAATCACAAAAGGATGAAAGAGCAGCCTCAGATAAGACTCATACTCTTCCGCCCTCTCCACGTGGGCGGGACCAAGCGAGTCATCCTAGAAACAACCAGCAATCCCTAGTACCTTATGCAACAGCACCTCTCCCCGGCCCGCCACATGGCGAATACTTGTGTTCATAGTAATTGGAGTGCCCATCAATATTCGTAAAGGGCAATCAATTCCACTCAGGCGAAATCAAGCACATCCAAAAGTTGATCCCTGTCGACATAACCAGTGGGAGGCCCTATCCCTACCCCACCCCTTCGCGCCATCACTGTGCACCCACTGTGCACCTTTCCACACCCCCCCTTCAATAATCGGCGGCCAGAACAGAGAAAAGAAGGGGGAAAGAGGAGAAAAGAGGCGCCGCCCATCCCCCGATGCGCTCACCGCATTATTATCATTATTGTCGTTGTTGTTGTTGTGGATGTCGATTTCGCCAGTCACCCTATCGATGAATCGCTCGTTATGTTATCGTTGTTATTGTTGTTATTGCCGCCAGCAGTGTTCTTGTTGTTGTTGTTGTTGAAGCTGACGGAACCGTCGATCTCGCCAGTGTCAGAATCACCATCAGTAGAACTGGCGTCCTCTGCGTTATCATTGTTATTGTTGTTGATGTTGTTGTTGTTGTTTTTGTTGTTTTTGTTGTTTTTGTTGTTGTTGTTGTTGTTGTTGTTGTTGTTGTTGCTGATGTTGTCGTTGCCGCTTTTGCCAGCACACGATCGAGAGATCACACCGTCGATATCGCTGCTGGTGTTGTTGTTGTTGGTGGTGTTATAGCTGTTGATGCCGCCACTCTTGCCGGTGCAAGAATCGCTGTGACGGACCCGCCGAGATGGCGGTCCGTCAGGATCAAGACGAAGGGATGAGGATGGGGGAGATGGAGATGGAGCTGGAAGGTGTTATAGCAGACTCAACACGCACGTACTCCAATCTGTGCAAAATGAAGAATAATGCCACAAAACAGACTGCAGTTGGGGTATACCCCCAGCGGACTGACTGGACTGGACTGGACTGGCCTGGTACCGACAGTGGTACCGGGCAGGACTAGACTGGACTGAATAACCGCACGGCCTGTGGGGTCAGGCCACGGCCTGGTCCCACAGGCCGGACTGGCAAATAGCCAAATAGGCCCTGGCTGTGGGCCAGGGCAGATGAAGGCCCGCTGCACGATCCTCA